GGCTTCCAGCAAGATGATAGAACTATGGGTGAGGCTAAACAGAGGGTCTAAAATGTGCTGAATGCATTACAGTCCCATTCTGTGAAAACATCTCCTAGGACCAAATACAGGCAGCATAATATCCTAGTAAATTGGACCATTAAATAAAACTGCGAAGTCATAAAGCTGCAGCATTACCCTGAAATTAAAGCATTGTCACCTTTGAATTATGGAACAATGTAACAAGCATTTAGGAAATCTGCTTTTCAAGGCTGCATTTAGCTGTTCCAGGTTATACAGTAGAAGATGTGGCTGCACTCTCCTACTGCGTTTTGAATGACTTTCAGCCTGTGTGTGGTTTGAAATTTTACCAAGCTGAGAAAGTAATAAAATAATAAAAGGGGAATAATAGAAGGTAAAAATAAACAGTGACCTTTGCTTGCAGAACAGCTTTTTCATTCTCATTGCAAATTCACAAGTACAAGGATAGAAAATTTAATTGAGTAAACAGGAAAAAAAAATGTAATATGGACAGATGTAAAAAGGTGATGGTAACTTCTTTGTCGAAATAGAGAAGGAGAGTCTTACCTGTCTAGTTTAACAGTTTCCAGGTATGGAAATGGCTAGAAGGAGCTAATGCCACTCAACTCAGGTTGCATCTATGATTACAATGTCACTGCCTAAAACTATAATTAAAACAAAACAAAAAGAATAACTTTTTAAAACAAACAAACAAACAAACAGATCTTGTATTGTGAAATAGGAACAGTATTTGAAGTACCATTATCCAAAGCCATAGGCATAATGCATGCAGAGGTATGCCTCTACAAAGGCATATGTAAGTCATGGAGCTAAGCTGTTGCACTGTTTTGCAGCTGTAGCAATCTGTGTGCATGTCCAGATTGCAGCTATGTTTCTTACGCAGGTCCTGAAGCATGCCTGAAATGCAAGCTCCCGGATTGTTGTCAGTAGGCTACAGAGTACACGCTGATTGAGCTGTAAGGGTATAATTCCTTGACCTCATTCTGAGGCAGGCAGCTGTATTCTGGGAGCAGCCCTAGCTAAACTTGTGTATGTGAATTTGAGAAAATAGTATGATCTGTTTCTAAATGCTGACAACTTTGAGGTGGAGAAAATGGTGCTTGAATAAAGCCCAAGAGTTGACCTGAATGATAAGGGTCTTCAGAAGAAAGACTGGGTTTATTTTTCTGTGGTTTTCTGATCTACAGAAGCAGGTGCACAGGTCTTGCTATTGTCTTGGAATGCTTCAAGAATTTACTGCCCTCGAGCTCTTAGTTACTTCTCCCTCAGTCAGCTGAGATGCAGGAGGGAGCAGTGTCGGTTCTCCCACTCTGTCCAAAGCAAACTAAAGTTTAAATTGTTTTCAGACTCATTTGCTGCATGTAGACAAAGGAGTGTCCTTTTGAAAGAAGGAACTTCCTGTATTTTGTTGTGGTTTTGTTTGGTTTTTTTTTACTGTGATATGAACATAATCCCTTATTCTTCTAGCATGTTGTGTGCGACTTTGTGCATGCTTCCTAGCCCCTCTATGCCTCACGTTCCTCTTTCTGAAATGGAAGTACTTATTCTTTCCCTGGGAAGTGGGAAGAAGCGTGGCTGAGTGCTGAATGCACCTCTCTTCCTTTTCCTTCTCTAACATTGTTGTCACCAGCTCTTTTGTCTTGCATCTGCAGCGTGTTGGACCGCCCTTCTAATCTGAAGACTTCCTTTCAGACTCTCAAGTTTTTAAAGCCTCTTTCATTGCTTTTTGTTTGTTTGTTTGTTTAAAACAGAAAAGGTAGCAGAGGATGTGTTTCTCTGTGCTCTTTCTACACCAGCTGTGCATAGGGAAAAGAAGCAAACTTTTGAATGACAGTAGCTTTGCCATCCCAGCGGTATGCTTGCTCATGTCTGTGACTTTCCTTTCACTAGGTCAGTGAGCCAAACATACATATTTTTTCAGAAGCTGTACTGATAGTTACCTTTACTTCAAAGACAGAGCATAAAGGGAATCTCTGAAGTGACCAGTAAAGCACAGATCTGATCTGTAAAAGTAGTAAGTGTAACAGAGCAATCGTATGTAGGTTAGGAAATGTCTGAAATGTAACTCTGGAATTCTTCCCTTCTGCTATTACCTTTTTTTAACTCCCTGTTCTGACGTACTTGCTAAACCACAATTACTTTGAGTAAAGAAAGAAACTTGATTTGTTTTTCCTTTCCCTTCACAAACTAGAGGGTGGAAAATCTGCAGTCAGTTTCTTATTTCTAAAAGATTCTGTGGAGAAAAGCAGTTCTTGAATGTCAAAGCTCAGATCTCACAGGGGCAGCTGAGTGCAGTTGTAATGATAACAAGACCATTGAAAATTAATGAACAATCAGAGGAAAATAAGAGAAAGACCTGTTGCATTCTCTGTCCAACACGCTTGTTGATGAGTGCTTCTTGCTAGCAGTATATTGGTGATGTCTTGTCCAACCTCATTTCAAACATGTCAATTAATTACATTTCTAACACTTCTTGGGAAGATAGTTTTATGCTATGCTACTTTTAATAAGTTTTTCCTAGTAATCCTTCATTGCATCTAAATTACTAGATCTTGATGCTTTGCTGGTGTACAAGTACACACAGCCTGGGAAGCACAGTAGTGTTAACCACTCTGAAACTCTAACATTAGGCTGTTGTACTTCCTGAGCAGCACTGTAGCCACTTTTGTGAGCAATAATTTTATTACAATTTCTCAAGATTATGTTAATAACTCTCAGTGGGGAGGAGCTTATGACTGCCCATCTGGAATTTCAGCAACTGGTTCGTTCCATCATCTCTTGGTTTTACATCTTGCTTACAGTATCAGCAACTTGGTGTTTGTCTCTTTAGTAGGTTTTTCGGTGAAGGCAGAGGTTAAACTTCTACCAACTTCGGTGAGAGGAAAGTTGGCTCACTCTCAACTGCTTCTGAAAAATCAACTTCGTTCATGTCAATCCTTGAGAGAACAAAAGGAAAAACAGTGACTCTGATAAGAATCACTATTTTCAAACATACAAGATGTGTGTTATGAAGTCGTTGAATTATATTGTGTTGGAAGCAATATATGTGCAGGACTGTGCAAGGTATTGTGCTATAGTGTTGACTGATTACAACCACTGGGACAAGTTTTACAAGCAATAAATTTGTAATATTTCTTGTGATTTTAATCTAACTTTTGTGTATCACACATTGTAGCAATGTTCCTTTGAGCTCCAACTCAAAGGATCCGCAAGCAGCATCCTGAACTCAGTAAGAACCACAGAATCACAGATTTGTGAGCAAACTCCGTCTACCATCACAGAAATGATGAGAGTATTGTGAGTGAATGTATGGTTTGCTGAGCATAAATTGTCCTTATAGTTAATGCCATACGTTACTGGGAGAGTAATTTTTCCGTAACTTGCAGCCAGGTCTTGAAACAGACCTTTCTAAATAGTTTCCAGATGGTTGTTGCTACTTGCCTGTCATCTGAATGCCTCCATAATGACAATCCATTAAATTATTTGAGTGTCTTTGCACAGATAGTCCATTTGGGTTTTTTATACACCTATTAGAGTTCTGTTGAAGTAATCTGTGGGATGTTTGTAGCTCAACAAAAAACACTTCAACTGCAGTGCATTGCAGTGGCCGCAAAGCTACTGGGCTCGTCATGCCAGTGTATTGGGGAGTAACTGGAAAGCTCATACTCTGCAAGAATTTAGACCAGGTAATCTGGTAAAACCATCTGAATACTTAAATGCACAGTTTTTAAGATCAGTTTAGCAAAGATCAAGTTCAGTGTTATCCAGGGTTTCCCTGTTAAAGCATGAATAACAAAATAGAAATCTCTTGTCTAGATCTTGCCTCTTCCTCTGTAATTGCCTGTAGATTTCTGCAAATGAGATTGAAATTTTCTTGTCATCAAATGATTAAAATTTACTGCCTTAAGTTTTTACCACATCAGTATTTTGTATCCTCGCTAGGCAAGAAGGATCTTTGATAAAGAGGGAATTTACTGGATGTGACTCTTAATAACATCATGGAGCACATGCAGGGCTCAGTCCTCTGAATCCTCATTAAAGAGTTTTCCTTTTACTCTGGGTCAGCTTGGCAGATTGGCCATTCAGGCTGTCCTTGTTATCTTGCCCATTGCTATCTCACCAGAACCAGACGGGAAACAGCCTCCCTGCTGAGCTAATTGCTTCTAATTGCTATGCTCTCCTTATCATGCCAACGCCAATGCTAGTCACGAGCTGAGTTGTTATGGTGCAGTTTGTGCTTAAGCCTAGATTCCGCTTTCTGTCACCTACGAAATCCCTTGTTCTGGCAGTAAATGCAATGAAGGAGATGAGAATGTGTTCCCCAGCATGGAAAAGCATCAACATTTACAGTTAACTACAGATGCCAAGTCATATGTTGTTCTGTACCATCATCCAAGCAGGGCATCACTCAACTTATACGTAGAAAAATCTGAGAACTGAGTAAAATGAGTGATCTGACTTCCAGCTGGGCAGTAAGAACATACTCTGAGTTTTAGCTTTCTGGCAAGATTTTGTGGTTTCCGTTTGTGGTGAGTTTGTGCAAACTCATCAGCCACAGTTCTCCGCTACCACTTGTTGTTATAACAGCATGGGCTGTGCTCTCAGATGCAGCTGTTTGCAAAAGATGAGCCATATTATTATGTCTTTTCCCTCAGGACCAAAGCCAGCTGAAAGTTACCTACTTTTCTTCAGATACCTGGCAATAGAAGATGCTGAAGATCTCCTGTGGTTCCCAGGAAGTTTGTAGTTTCTCTCTTGCTCAGCAGGCTCCGTAATGTTTGCTTGAGCTGGTTCAGGGAGGAACATCTCTGTGGGCTACACTGACCTGTAATAGGTCTTCATCACAGAGTCACCATTTTGGGTCCTGCTGACGCTCTCTCCAGTGCAGTAAAGAATTAGATTTCAATTGCTTTTTCGTTCCCTGTTTGTTGCAAGTTTTTTGCTGTTAACTTCCTGTTCAATCCTTTTTCATTTAACAGAAGATAAGATCTGGACTGCAGTACAGCACAACAACACAGGGCTAACCAGAGTACAAGGAGCTGATCCGGCGAAGCCGTACACCATGTCCTTTAACTACAACAGCAGTGGGGAGCAGCTTGAAGCCATGATAAACAGTGCAGAATACTGTGAACAGGAGGCAGCCTATCACTGCAAAAAGTCACGTCTCCTGAACACCCCAAGTAAGTGCCATGGTCCCAAATCTTTACCTGTTAACTCTTACTGATTATACAGCAGATACAGGCCACACTGCAACTGAGGAGAAAAAACTCAAAATGAATAGTAGCAATACAGAACAGAGTGAAAGGCCTTTTACCATCTTGGATACCACTCTGCAGTGCCTGTACTCTGATGCAAGAGGGTCTGAGCTCTGCAGGGGAGTTTCCACTCTGTAAGTTCATGCGTACAAAGGCTCTGAAAGCTTCTACAATGGAAAGCACTACTTAGAAACCACAAAAGCTGTATTTAACTGATGGTAAATGGATGTGTTTATTCATTTACAGCTTTTAACTGTGTATTAAAGATAGAAAGCATCCAGATTGCTCCGGACTCTCATGATGTTTCTGGAAAGGAGGGGCATGCCCTCTTCTGAGTCCCACAGCCTTGAATATGATGTCTGAGGTGTTTGGTAGTAGAGTTTCTGGGGCAAAACTAATTTTCTCCTCATGATAGGAATAAGTTTTTTGCCCTGACTTAGTGTAGCAGCAAGAAGAAAGCAGAGGGTCTGATCAGTTTATGTCTCTCTGCAGTACCAAATTTCCAGTGGCTACTCAACTCAGGATGACTGCCTTCCACTCGACTCTCTCTTGGGGTCGCAATTTTATGTTTGCTTATCCAGAGCGATTAATGACATTAAGGGCAGGTTCTTGAATGTCTTCAAAGTCTCATCCGGTTACTTGTAATGTCTGTATGGTCCTGGTGATTCTTTGATTATCAGCAACTCTTAAATTTGTTAGTAGGTTAGAAGAAATCCCACAGAAAGCCTTAAGGGGCTCTTGCAGTCAGAGTTCCTCTTGTGTTAAAATAAATTGTCTAATGAGATGTATCAATAACCTTCCTGGTTCCAGCAAAGTTACTATAACACTGAATGTTTATTGATCCAGTAATCAGATGCCTCACAGTCAGTTTATTTTTAAAACCTGTGAATTATGTCTTTTGTTATCATCAGAATTTACCAGCCAAGAACTGCTTATATTGCTAATCATTTTTTAAAGAACAAAATGTTAATATCAGCATCCAGGGTAGAGCACAAAGGGAAAACAAAATGCAGGCATAACTGCTCATAAAGAGGGGGAATTAATGTCTTACAAATATTTTCAGTATTGCTGGCTTCTCTATCCCACACCGTGCTTGACATGTTATAAAGATATAATCACACAGTGATTATTTCCAAAATATTTTTTTCAGGTTGAAGGTCACAATATTAGAGCAGGTCTGCATGTGTTTAATTTTACACATTTCTGTGAGGTACTTGGTCACGTGTATGCAGAAAGGTACACTATGAGTGCATTTTGAGATACCTCTTGTATGTGGTACCTCTATGAATCTAGGGAGACTTAAGGATCCAAACCCATTTCTCCTTTAAAAAAAAAAAAAAGTGGTGATAATCTTGTGTAAATTGATAGTATATAAACTATTCTGCTTCAGGGCTAAAGTTACCTACCAGCTGACTGACTGACTTAAGACAATTCCTGACAGGCAGCTCCTTCTCCACTTGTCCAGGGCCAAAGTTATGACTCGGAGTGCTCAAGGGAGAGGATGTGGGGACAGTGTCCAGCAGCCCAGATTGCAATTTTGCAGTTGATGCAGTGCAGCTGTAGTCCTGACAGTTGACCACACAAGAATTGCACAACTCATAACTTTAATAGAACCCCAGCTGATAAATTAGAAAAAAATTACAATCTAGTGCTGTGCATGTGGCAGATACCATCATTTTTTCCTCTTTTTTTCTTCCTTTTGTATGCTTTTTAATTACACTTTCAATTTTTCATCCTCAACTTTCTCAATAGCCTAAGGGTGTAAGTTTGGCAAGATGTGGAACATGCTCAAAAAGAAATTGTTTGAGTTCTTGAAACTACAAGATATGAGTAACAATTTGTTCTTAGCTGAGTATTAAGTATTTTCAAATGATAGAAAGGCATTTTTTTCCTCAAAGCCTTAAATAGGTCTATTAATTGGTGTTCATTTTGAGGTGAACTGCTGCTATATTATAGAAAAGCCTAGAGACCCAGTGGTGCTGAAGACTATAGGTGTCTTGAAGTGTTCTAAGATGATCAGAGGGCTGGAGCACCTCTCCTGTGAAGACAGGCTGAGAGAGTCGGGGTTGTTCAGCCTGGAGAAGAGAAGGCTCCAGGGGACCTAGAGCAGCCTTCCAGTACCTAAAGGGACCTACAAGAAAGCTCCAGAGGGACTTTTTACAAGGGCCTGCAGTTATAAGACAAGGTGCAATGGCTTTAAACTGGAAGAGGGAAGATTTAGATTAGATACAAGGAAGAAATTTTTCACCGTGAGGGTGGTGAGGCACTGGAACAGGTTGCCTGGAGAAGTTGTGGATGGCCCCTCCATGGAAGTGTTCAGGGCCAGGTTGGATGGGGCTTTGAGCAAACTGGTCTAGTGGAAGGTGTCCCTGCCCATGGCAGGGGGAGTGGAACGAGATGATCTGTAAGGTCCCTTTCAACTAAACCATTCTAAGACTCTATGATGATTTAAAGAATTTCCATTCCTAAACTTGTGAGCTACAAGTGTGAATAACCCTAGTGTGTTTTGCTGGACTCCCTGCAGAAGGTTCTCACCTGTGTTGTTTATGCCCAGATGTGATGAGGGAGTTTGATTTGGGGCCAGAGCAACAGAACAAAAATCAAAACTCTTGGGTTTTGTTTCTTGGTTTGGCCTAGGCTTTTGGATGCCTGAAGCACTATGTTCTCTCTGTGTTGCCACGGCATCATAATTTGTAATTATGGTTAATGAACCACACTTCAGATCTTCCTTCAGCATTGTATGTGTATACAGTGCACATGTACGGATGACAATGCTGCATTTGTAGGCCGGCATGAAACATTACATGATCTAATCCAGCCTTCTGAATATCACTGCTCATTAATACCTCTGAACTGAGCCCAATGGTGAATGCTTGATGGAAGGGCATCTCCCAGACGTATACATGATCTTGAGAGAGCCATAAAAGTTCCCCATCTTGCGAGGAATCTAATCCATTTCTGAGCGTCCTCTCATTTTGGGCTTTGTTCTTTTTTTTTTCCATGGAGATGGAATGCATGATTAGGATATCTCAGCTGGTAGCACCAAACCCCCAAATCCTTGTCTTAAGGATCTAAACACTATCGTGTTTCAGAGAGAAGCAATAAAAAGATTTCTCTTTCCTTTTGCATTCATAACTTTACTCTCCCGCAAAGATGCGTGTTGTTACATAGCAATTTTGGCTTTCATAGCTTTGACGTGGGGAAAAAAGGGAAAAAATCATGTACCTGGGCAAAGGGACAAGCATGGCACTCTGGGCAGAGAGAAACCAAGGGAGACTTGTGAATTGCATAAAATTGTTCCAGTTTATATCAAGGAATTTGTCTTTCCTCTCTTCCAAGTATTTCTTGCCCTGGAGACATAGGCACATTCCCAGAGAGTGTGATTCAGTGTAGTCTCCCCATTGAGTTACTTGGATGTACATCTGCAGTGTGTCAGACATACAATCTGGCAGTTGGCAGAGTTTACTCATCCTCACCTCCTGCTGTCTGGAACAGCCTTATCAGTTCTCACTGTCATACTATAGCTTAGCTGCAAGCATGTCTTTGAAAACTAAAATTAAATTGCCCTGAACTGCATTTTTGTACATCTCTGCCATCAGATAGATTTTCAGGAGGTTTGTGAACATCAGAATAGATGTCTGTTCATCAAATGAATAGCTGGCTTTCTCATGATGCTGGCAAATGACACTTATAATTTATGACCAGTAATTGCAAGTCTCTTGTGACTTCTCCATGCCTTTTGGAGAGATACTCACATAACGGGAGCAAATCTGACAGCTGGCATTAATTAGGAAAGTCATCCATACTCTTAGCAAAAGATTGCAGACTTTACCACTGCCTCATCCTTAGAAGCACAGACCAAGACAAGCTTTCAGGAGAGGAGGGGGGTGGGCAGGAAGCTTGGGCTGCCTCTAAATGTTGTATCTGTATTCTGGGAATCTGAGAAGAAATTTAAGCCCCTGGGGCTCTGATTTCCTTTCTTTGTGGAGCATCTCAGGTAATACCTAGGAAAAGGGTATGTGTACAAGGATAGGTGCATTTGTGTGCATGTATGTTTAATTGAACTGTTAACATGCAAGATGTTTGAGGGTATGAAAACTATTAACTGAATAAACCCTCAGCTCTGACTGAGTTTGTGCAGTTTTCTCGAAGCAGTCAGTGTACTCATAAGGCTTAACATTTGGGAAGCCGCCTCACATCCACCATATCAAGGACTTAACGCAGTGATGGCTGTATCAGTGGCAGGATGGCTTGCTTTAGAATACTTGGCTGACAGTCTGTTGAGTTCATAGCACATTTGTGTAGGCAGGGACTGAGAGAAGATCAGTCCTAGCGCAAAATCAAAGAAATAGGAATGTCTTTAGGTGGTGGTTTTTTCCCACCTTCTTCCTTATTTTTCTACTGTTTCCAGTAGAATTCCCACAAATGTCACCTCAAGCTTTGATTTCAACATCCAACCTAAGCTACACACTTGTTCCCTGAACTTTCTGCCTGTCTCTCTTAAGATCTGTCAAGTCCCAGTATTATATGAGTTGCACCCAGGTTTCCACCTCCTCTTTTCCCCTCTGTCTCCCAGCTAGGCCTGTATCTCAATGCTGAGCTGCACCATGTGCTGTCTCCACGTCTGTGAACTGTTATGTGAGACAGCTGTTTGCCCTCACCTGTGAACCACTGCATTTGCATTTTGTATCTTTATTATTGTATTACTACCTCACAGCAGGGAGCGTGTCCTAATTTCTGAGTTTAGACTTCAGTTTTAGACTTAATTCTGCTGCTGATACAGTTCAGTGGTGTTTTATCTATGCCCGGTATGTTGCTAGAGCTCTTCGTCTGTGCAGGCTCCCTTTTTAGTTCCAGATGAGACTTCCAGTGTTGTCAGAGCATAAGATGCTGAGAAATGTCCTGCAGAGTCCTGCCTCCAATAGTGGCTGCTGGAGAGGGTCAGTACACAAGTCTGGATGTCTTCAGC